ACGTTTTTTAAAGATTTTTTCTAAAAACAACCACACCCAATTTTTAGGCTTTTAAAATAATACAATACTTAAAATTTGTTTTATTTTTTTTTAATAATATAGGGCGCTTTGTTGGAACAAAGTCAGCAGTGCACCTCTGTCTATTAATTTTTATGTCACATTTTTAAGCTCTTGACATACCTATTATGAAACTTTTCTACAAAACTGTAATATTTAAATATTATAGGAGCTTTGCTAGAAATAATCCAGCAGAGTACCTAGATTTTTAGTTTTTTTGTTCTTCTTTTTCTTTTTTTTGTTCTTTTTTATTTTTTACTTTTTTTGTTTTTCTTTCTAAAAACAACTATGCCACATTTTTAGGCTAGCTTTTGCGAGGGGTTAGTTTCAACGAGAGTGTGTTGTACATTCGAATTGGGAGTGTATAGGGAGTGAATTTGGAGTGCATTGAGAGTGTATCGGGAGTGCATTGGGAGTATAATATACTATTTTATTTAAAAATTAGTTCTTTAATAAGGCCTTTAAAAAAAAAACTTTTAATAAAATTTAACTTAAGCAGTATGCATTTTTATGACTAAAAGAAAGCAAAAAATATGTTATTTTATGAAACCAAATACTCACAGGTTGTTGCCCACAAGTGCCATAGCACATTTTTTAACAGACTGAAAGAAAATGAATTGTCTTTGTATTTCATTTAAAATTGATTACTTACGGGTCATTATATTGTTTTATTTAATCGATTAATCGAAAATAGTACTTATCTTTGAAAAATTGAAAATAATAAATTAACAAAAACTATCGATTAATCGAAAATAGTCTAGTAATAGAAAATAATCGATTATCGATTAATCGATTTTTCTAAAAAAAATACGATTATTTTGCCTTTCCCTAGATATAACCAGCAAGAAAATATATTCATATATTCTATTCAAAACTTTTTAGTTTTAGACTGAATAGTAATATACCTAAAACCTCGTCATTTTTTATACAGACAAATATTAATGTATTTTTTTACAAAACTATTCAAATGAAAGTCTCTCAATCGAGCAAAAGTTATAAAGAAAATTCTTGGAACATATAATGCTGAATTAGTAATGTTCCTAGTTATGCCTGTATACAAATTATTGTTGCCACGCGTTTTTCGGAAATCTATTACCTAATATTATTTCATATGAAAAAGTATTATTGCAATATAGGTAGGTCCAGAATTTGATGCATGATATCAATGGTGCATTGGGAGTTCATTGGGAGTGTACTGAGTGTGCATTAGGGAGTGTATTGGGGTGCATTGGGAGAGCATTGTGAGTGTATTCGGAGTGTGTTAAAAATGGGAGTGTATTTTACAAAAATTTCGCTTGAGATTAACCCCTCGATATTTTGGCTCTAGATATATAAAGCTTCTTGAAAAAAATCGCTATTTTTTAAAATACGTTGTGCTTTGCTAATTTCATACAAAGCCAGTGGGACAACAAAAGGTTTTTCTGCCACATTTTTTTGGCACTTGAAATTATATAACATTTAAAACAATTGCTATTTTTAAAAAATACATGGTGCTTTGCTAGCTTCGAACGAACCCAGCAAAAACCATGTTTTTTTTTCTAAAAATAATTATTTTTAGGGCATTTTTAGGCTCTTGATATATATTAAACAATTCTATAAAATTTGGTATTTTGCTCTGCTATAATTCTTTTAAAAATAGCAATTTTTTATAATATTTAAAGATCCTAAAAATAGCCTAAAAATGTGGTATATTTGTTCTTAGAACAAAACTTTAAAGTTAGCAAGGAATCGCGTATTTTTTAAATAATGGAAATCTTCTCTTCTACGGGATGGAGATTTCATGGAGATCAGTAGAGATCTTATGGAGATACATGGATGTCCGGTGGAAATCCGGTAAATACTTGGAAATCCAAGAACTTCGGCTGCAGTCGTGTAGAATCGGTAAATTCATAATTGCGTGCGCACATCAATTTAACTGGTATTGCGGTCCGGTGCAGTGTTGCCAGGTCTACGGTTTTTTCCTTAGAGACAGTTTAGTTTTTCAGATTTCCTTTTATACTGATAACTTGTTTCTACTTGGGAATACCTATCAATTGTTTTTTTAGGTCAAAAACAAATGGGTTTTTGTTTTTCTTTTTACTATTTTTTTGGTTGTCATTATAGTGATTATATACTGTTTATTTTTCTACCTAGTATTCCTCTACAAAAAGTTTTTCAGTATTTTTGGTGTTCCTAAGTTTTCTTTTAGTGTAACTATTGTTTAATTTATAAATAGTTTATTAAAAACAGTTTATTTATAATTTATTTATTTAAAACTTAGGCACTATTACAGCTCACAATTCTAATTTATTTATTACAATTTGTCTTTACTATCCAACACTTTTATTGAAACTTCACGTCTTCCGACAAACTCGCGCTATTTATATAAGTTCAGCTCTGCACTAGTAGTTTCTCGGCGATCTAGAACGTCCGGAAACTCCTTCTCTATGACTCGGCCGCAGCACAGCGATCTCTCCGGTAGCTTCTAGGAGGAGTGCATTTGTCTCTATATGGCCAGCGCTAGTCTTCATATCGCGGGTAAGGTAGTAATCAAAGAACAGAGTCGGCTTTGCGCGACATTAGTTTTATAATACTTAAAAAGGTATTGTCTTTTTTGCATTTTTTGTTTTGTTTATTATGTACATATGTTTTAATATTATTTTGAGCAAGACATGTGTTACTAAAGTTATACCTATGTAATACTTTATTTTAATAAAACTAAGCTGATGGCATATAATTATATTTTTTTCTTTAAACATTATTTTAATGTTTAGATGTTGCTTCTTCTCTAAAACACCAACAAGATGTGAGTAAAATTCGGAGGTAAAATAATACTGAGTTACTTAACGATACAGTCCTTTGACAGTAATAATCTATTTTCTGCCATGGTATATAATCTACCATTATTAGGTCAAGTATTACATACCATTCGTAATAGTCTACTTACTGCTTCTAAAAAGTTTGTGGAGATCCATGGAAATCCAAATGATCTCCATGAATATCCAAATGATCTACATGGATATCCAAATGATCTGCATAGAGATCCAAGATGACTACCCCCTCATCTAAAAATAGCCTAAAATGTGGCATAATTGTTTTGAAAAGAAAAAACCTTTAAAAACCGAAGTGCTCTATTGGTCTCGTTCGAAACAAATGGCCTAACAATGTAACATAAGTAGTTGTTTTGTTCCAACAAAGCACCCTGTTTTTTTTTTAAATAGCAATTTTATTAGTAAAGTTTTATAATATATTAAGAGCCTAAAAATATGGTGTTGTTTTGGAAAAAAAAAACATAAAAAAAGGTGCTCTGTTGATTTCAATCGAAGCAAGGCAGAGGAGTATAACATTTTTGAATAGAGTGTAAAAATAGCTTTAAAATAGCCTAAAAATATGGCATAGATTTCAACTCAAAATTCCCTGCCCTCTTTGGATCCCTAGGGCCTCATTATGATTTTCTCCTAAAGTCTTATCATGATTTACATCTAAGGCCTCCAAAAGTGTAAATATGCCAGTATGATAATGATTAGGGGTCAATGACGAAAAAGTACTAGACTAAGTAATCCAATCATTCATAATAAAGCTGTTATTTATTGCAATCATTTAGATTGTGTTATATATTATGCAGACAGAGCGCTATCACATTGGCTAGTGCATTAGAAAGAACGAGATGGCTGCTAATTTGAGTAGGGATAGTTTGTGTGAGTTTGTTTATCTGATGAGCTTGTATGCTATGACGCTTGCTTTACACTGCTGTCACTTTTGAACATTAATTGAGTACTTTTCTGAAAACCACTTGCAACGAGAAAAATACATTAAACTGATGATAAATGGCATTAACAATGCAAATATACTTCCTTATTGTAATTTTGAAAGCCTTTTGTGCATCAATACTGAATTAAAACCCTAAACAATCTTTATAAGAAGACTCTCCCATACTCTCTCATAATAATTTAACAACTATGTGGATGGCACTGTGAATGTTTGCAATTCGTTTTTTATAAACAACATTAGTCTTGTAGTTTTTAGGGGTGCTTTTATCTTCTAGTAAAAGGAATTATTCTAGAATGAAATTGCAATTCGGTGGATATCTTTACAATTTAAATGATAGTTTTTCTAGTTATAAAAATTATTTTATAGGTATACTACTAGACTACAACAACACCAACAACAACCACTTGGCATAATACTTAATTATTTTTACAATAGTTAATTAAAACCCAAATAAAATGATGATAATATATGTTCTATTGGGTATGGGGTATTAATACACTGCGACCTAATATATCTATTGCGCCCCCTTCTGTCGCTAATTAAGCAAGGAAATAGTCTTGATGCCTATAACAACCCTTCCAATCCTACCTTTTCAAGGAAGTGTAGGATTTGGAGAGGCTTAAAGTTCAGCAGATCATCCTCTTTTATTTGGTATGTTCCTTAGTATAGTTCCCTTGGATTCTGAGGTGCTACACATTCAGTCAGAATGTAAATAGAGGTTTCGTCCTACTCCTTACAGAATCTGCACTTACTATGTTCTGTCATAATAATAATTTTAATATAATTTAATTAAAACACAAATTGATGATGGTGGGTGAGGTTTTCCGGGTTTTCCTCACCTGTAAGTCATATGGCACCATCAATCATCTTTAAGTCGCCCCGGAGCGCCACGGCAAATAATAATAATAGCCGTCCCTTCCCCTACACAAGTCGTTCAGTCGACTTCAGGGGTTGAATTCACTCGTAAGGGGGTGAATTAGGGAGAGTATTATTATTATTATATTATAACATGTTGATAAAAATAATGTCCCATAAAAATAAGTAACTATATACTATTCCAGATACTATTGCTTAAAATCCGAACAGCGCAACGGGATTTTAATTAATAAAGTAGGTACCTATTATTAACAAAAATTAATTTTACAAACTACTTAAAGCAAAGTATAGAGTTTTAATTTTATTCAATCACTTACCAGAGTAAAAACAAAACAATCTCGTAAGTCTTGAATCTCGAAGATTGTGGTTAGGATTCCATGTGACTTCACTTTTCCTCTTTATAATAACGAAATTATAAACAGCTTTGTAAATAAAGAAAATTCACTAGAAGAATGTATCACTATCACAGTTTTTTATTTAATGGAATAAGAAAATGAAAAACAATAGCTTTGTTTTAGGACAAGACGTAGAAAACCTTGAATACTATTTCCTATCCTACACGAATGAAATTAACACTATTGTATTAACGATATACAATAATGTTCTTCCCTACCTAGTTACTCAAAATAAACACGGACAAATACAACGTCAACAAAATTTGTTTTACTTTTTATGAAAATTAATGATTCTGGCGACATCTATTCGAATAAAAAAATATTAAAGCTAAGTTTATTACAGAAACTTGTTCTAACAATATCCGTGATAGAGGGCCAATCCATTTACAGAATTCTCTATAATTCAAAAAAGAAACGTATAACTGGTTGCCTACATCTTCTCTGCAAGGGCAATGAATTATAAATTAAATTTTCTGTTTCCAGGAAGGCAAAAACCAGTAAAACCGAAGAACCATTGTATTCTAAAAAAAAGGAATTTTTGTAGCTTAGACTATGTGGTATAAGATGCAGGATATAAAAAACACATCATATTTCGTCATAATAATAATACGTTAACCACAGACTTTTTCGTTCATGATATAAATTATAAAGAGTGGTCCACAAAAAATGTTTATAAAGTAGTTCATGACCGACAAAAACAGAAATACGAGCCGTACCCGTGATCACTACGCACGGCTCTGAACTAAATCCAAACTGACACTTAAAAAGAAGAAGAATTGTGCTCCGACATATGTGAATTTTTTCCAAGGCCCACTTTACAAACATTTTTTGTGGATTCATAGTTCTAGAAGTAAATAGGTACTTGATTGTTTCGAGAAGAAGCCACGCTATAGCAGAAGTAAAAGTTGGAAAGGCATTTGCCAGTTCTCCCACTTTATATACATAAATTGACAGGTTTGCGGCGGATCTCACCGAAGTGGACGCGATACATTGGCGTACAAAATTGTTTTATATATGTTAATAACAATTTCGAGTAAATAGTTTAATAAATTGTGAATAGATTAAGTATAAGGGGTTAAAGAAAAGGTCCTTTATTTCTCACAAGTCAATTTTAATTGGCGACCGGTTTCGAAGCTATTACTTCATCATCAGGCACACCTAAATGGAATGTCAAGGAGTCAGTTGTAATTGTAATTCTCCTTGACATTCCATTTAGGTGTGCCTGATGATGAAGTAATAGCTTCGAAACTGGTCGCCAATTAAAATTGACTTGTGAGAAATAAAGGACCTTTTCTTTAACCCCTTATACTTAATCCCTACTACTCACATATGGCTACCCTCACTCCAAATTGTGAATAGCTTGAAATTTTGTAAAAATTATGTTTTGAATATTATAATATTTAATGTTTAATAATTATTTATAGTCCATATAAATACATGCGATTGTCCGGTTCCGCCGATAACAATTTAAAATTACTTATTCTATGAAACTCCACTGGCAGGTAAAAATTACTGCGAAATTCTACCTACCAAAAGCCTTTCCAACTTTACTTTCGCTATAACATAGCTTAGTGTAGATATGGATAAAAGCACAGCACAGAACAATAATAATAGACTCCAAACTTCTTTAGAATGCACGACTGAAAACATAATAAACTGACAAGCTTAGCTGCTCCAGATGAAGTTCAGTTCACTGGAGAGTTGGGGAATGATGCGCACTTAAGCGGAAATAAGATAAAAACTAGTTAACAACTAAATTATAATTAAGTTTAAGGCAAGCAGAAGTATTTCTGGAGTATCTACACCCTGTACAGTCTGCATGGTTCCAAGAAGAACATAACACACAGCGGTACCATAATTCTCAATTCTTGCTAATCTCTCCACGTATCAAACATATCTCGTTAGATTTGCAGAGTGTTTTAGGAGGACGTGGCATCGTCATCGTCGCATATGTCGGACAAATCCGCCTCCAATGAGTCGTCAGATAACTCAGGTATTGCCTCTCTCTTCATTTTTGCCTTTAAGTTTTTTATGTCTTGTGTTTCTTCATCAAAACATCTCACAGTTTTCTTTTTGAGTATTTTGTCTTTTTCCATCTTCATGTTTTCTTCTCTTAATCTTTTCTTTTCTTGGGTTATTTCTAATTCTTTCAGAACAGTTGTGCTTGTACGTATTTTCGAAAATTGTTTTTTTATCGATAACTTTTTTTGTTGGTATAGGAGCCATGGTAAGAAAAGAGTTTTCTTTGGATGTACTTGCCTGAGCATTTTCGTAATCAACTAAAGCATTTGGTTCAGTATCAGGCAATGAAACGTTTGCTTTTGGTCCAGTATCAGGCAATGAGACTTTAGCTTTCGTTATGAATAAAGTAGGATCATCTTCGTCAGAATCTTATATAGTGCAATTTGGTACTTGATTGGAAGGCGTAAAATCATCTTCATTAAATTTATCTGGATTTAATGGATATATTCCTGAAGTAGAAAACCCTGAAACGACCTTCTCCATTGTTGCAACTTTCATAAATGCAATAATTCAGAGACGTCATATTCTGTTATTTTTTGATGACCAGAAGAGGATAAATAAAGATCGTATTCTCTATAGAAAGGGTTCTTTAATAGACTAAAAATTTTTAAATCTAATGTCTTAAGATGGTCTGAGGTGTGGGGTGGAAGAGACACCATATGAATATTATTCTCCTTACAAAAATTATAAGCCGAAATCAAAATATGACATGAATGGTTATCCAGAACCAAAAGGATGGGGTCAGATGCAGTAGTCTTTGCATAATTTGCGAAATGGGAGAAGCACTCAATTAGAATTAATCTAACCATTTTTGGAACATTTGTAGAAAGTACCCAACGTTCCGTTTTTGGCATTCTTTTACGGGGATAAATAAGCATAGGGGGGACGTAATTCCCTGAAGCACTCTTACAGAAAACGACAGTTATGGTCCTTCCCAGAGATAACAGGTCCTTCTCCTTTCACCGGATATATCTGTATCTGTTACGTGTGGAGGGTGGGTTACCCCCACGGCACTTATGCATAACTAGGCCCATTGTGCATCCTCCTAAGATGATTGGCACCTCCTAGCTCGTGAGCCAGCCTACAGATTTAACGTAGTTGACAACGTCGCCAAGAGGTGTTTCTCTTATATTGGCCGGTGTTTTCTCTTATATTGGCCGGTGTCAGCTAATACTCGCCGAACACAAATATTCTAATAAATGAGAGCATCGAACAATCGTAAGAGATATGTTCGATGGTCTCATCTTCTTGTTCGCACCCTCTGCAGAGTGCGGTTTCTGAGAGCCCCATGATATTGAGATGCTCCCGTACTTGGCAATGACCAGTCAGAATGCCTGTGACTAGGCACATATTATGTCTAGTTATAGTTAGGTATTTGTTTGGTGCAGTGTTGTCAGGATAACTAAAGCCCTGGCAACTCTGCAGTTTCTTTTTTCATCTCATCTTTCCTTGAATTTCATAAGGGAATGTTCTTTAATTATGTATGTCACTACTTATTTTGTCAGGCCAATAGAAGAGCCAGATCCAAAATGTATTTGGTTGGCTGCTTTTTTAGCTAGTGAATCAGCAAAACCTTTCGATGTGGCGTGACCTTTGATCGATCTTAAGGTGATCACATTGTTGATGGATACTTCGGCTAAAGCTTCGTAACATTTTAGTACTAACCCTAATTAAATTTGTGGTGTGTTCAGGGTGAGTTGTGCTTGTCTGCTATAGGGATAGATGAGCATTTTCCTTCCAGTGATATTGTTTATGGTGATTTCTTTTGCTGCTATGAAAATCCCCGTTAGCTCTATTTGAACTACACTGGCACTATTGCTTACAGCCCATTTTATGTTTAGGTTTAAGAATCTGGGGTATATTCCACATCCTGAGCCTTGTTTTGGTTTAGAACTGTCGGTGTAGATATGAATCGTATCTGGCACTTCCGGTTCTTCAGTTTGTTCTGTTATAACTGTATATGGCTTGTTCGCTTGAAGCAGTGGGAGCGGAGCCTACTTTTTTGCTCCCTTGGCACCATACACCTTTGGACATTTGGCTTGAACGGTTATAATACCTGTTTCGTCCATGTTGAATATTCTATTCGGTTCAAATTTAAACTTCTGCATTATAATTTCAGGATTAGAATAAAATAATTTCACAGCATCTTTATTAAAGGATGAAATTCGATTCATGCTAGTAACCTCAGGCTGTCTTAGTTTTACCTCAGGAACTCTTTTTAAGAACTCATAAAGCCATGCTTCTCCAGCTACTCCCTTTTCTCGATTAAAGTTATGAACAATATTATGTTGCATACCTAAATATACTAGCCTATATATAAAAAAGCACTTGAAAAATTATATTGCTGCAGCTGATATTCTTACTTCCATCAAACAAGATACAAACAATCTAACATGTAACACGAAATCAAATTGAGCCTCTCACTACCAAACATGTCCTTATGGTTGTTATTCTCACAGGTTCTCATGATTGCAGACCATAAAAAGAAAAGAAGATCTATTTTGTATTAAAATACCTATGACAACATACTTTGATTTTCTTTTACTATACGGAGAATGGTCGCACTGCGCAGCTTTCTGAGTGCCTTTTAAAAGGAGATAGAAAACTCCGCTATTTTGAACCCTTATTACGTGTTGCCTACATCTTGGTGCAATATTTTTAATAGGTGCGTTTTAATCATCCGCTTCTGCTTCGGAATTGTCGGTTTTCTTGTTTTAATCTGACAGGTTAAAACGACTAAACCGACAATTCCGGAAGCAGAAGCGGTTGATTAAAACGCACCTGCACAGGGACTCTGTGTCATATAGAATTCTACCGGTCGCTTCAATCCTATCGATTGGCACTCTGTGTCTCCAAATAATCGCCAGGAGTCGAGTGTAACTATCGCCACGAAGCGAGACGTCAAGACATATAGTTTTCTACTAAAGTAGGCAAACCGTCATACATTTTTGTTTTGATTTTAAAACATTATGGCATTGGAATTTCAAATGAAAAATAGTAACAAACATAAAAATAAGAATTACGGTAAAGCCATTAGCTTTGTTGTTAAATCAAGTGAATTTTTTATTGTGGTGTGTGGTGTAAACATTATAATAGGTTTATTCTGCCATATTTTTTTACCAGCAAAATCTGCTAGCTCCAAGGTGAATCTTCCTGTTGAAGAGGCACATACATCCACAGCATCAGTATAAAAAAGTTAATAATTTGAAATCCTTAATCCAGGATATTCCACAATAAAACAAATAATTTTACAGTAGGATACTTGACTGGCCGACAGAGGTCTCCAAACTTACTTAATAATGTCATTGTAAAACTATGTTTA